TGCTAGACATGGCACCAAAGCCATCATCAATGTACCTGACATAAAATTCAGGTTTAGTGCCTTGAAAGGACGAAAAAATTAACTCCTCTTGATATGACATGAATAAACATGCATAGCTCGGACCAAAACAACTGCCCATAGCCACACCTCGTTTCTGTATATAATGTTTACCATTAAAAGAAAAGCAATTCCCGTTCAAAACTAATTCCGCTAAGCGCACCAACACAAACGTTGGAGGATCCTTAACTGTCCTTTTATTCAGAAAATGCTGTAAAGCCAACAGTCCATCAGTGTGCGGGATAGATGTATAAAGGGATTTTACATCCATAGAAAACAAAAATCTGGGTTTATCCGGTGTGAAACGAAATAACTCTAGTTTCCTAAGTGCATCATTAGTATCCATCATTAGTATTCATTTTAATTCTAGTGGACATAATATTTCAGATATGTCTATTTCTGGTGTATGTGTTGTCAATGGCAACGAAAATCAGCTCAGGCGTGTCGAGGAGGAAACTATATTCCGCCTTGGAACTAAAGAACCCCATGGTATTAACAAACAGTTCAACTCATGTGTTGAGCTCACTACCTAAGGCGCGTTATTTGTTCTACTGTGGAATTTTTTGTGATTCTAACTTATAGTTCATGCGCGTTCTTACGTTCCTATGTTCTACCTGTACGTTATCACACTTGCTTCTATGCTATCGATAAAGAGCCATTGCTCGAAACGTCTAGCTATTTTTAATAGTTATTTAGGACTACGATTACCAAATATTATCTTCAATATATGGAACTTACTACAAATTTCTAGAATGTTCCATTACCTTCTATTGCCTCCTACAGTGTTCTATTACCTATTCAACCAGTTTCTAAAAATTCCACCCAGACACAGTACGGTTCTAGAACATTCTCAGTGACACGGAAGTGGTAAACAAGTCGTATGCGACAGCCAACCATGCTAGCATAGATGAGTTCTAATACATGTAGTTGATTGGCTTACCAAAATGTGGGTCCTAGATACCAGCCAATAAGAAATGGATAGGTACGTGATACTGTTTTGCAAATGCAAATATTTAAATTGTCAGGTGTCACGATTTTTGTCTAGCAGTCGCCAATAAACACAGTAACGTCTACATTTTTTAAATTTTAAATCAACTGCTTCGCACTAAAGAACAAACTCTTACTTTATTTGTTTTTGTTTTGTTTTTTGCGGGGCGGCTATTCATGCTGAACTGGTTGAAGCAGTCAAGAGGCTTACAGGTCTTTTCGCGTTTAATAGTTTGTTTCAAGTCTTTTGTTGCCTTGTCCTTTCTACCAGTCAGAATTGTGGGTAATTCGGTCTATTGTGCATTCGCTGAGTGCACCACATAGCAGACACACCCATACAAAACATTCTCAGTAGTTCAGTGCAGTACGTCGGATAAGCTCGTCTAAGCTACGGTCAACTAATACCCAAAATGAAGAACGGAAGACTTGGAGAAGATGTCAAGTATGTTGAACCTAGATCGTCGCCCACCTGTTGTGAAAAATTTGGTCAATGGATCAAGGACAACCTTTTGCTGGTTTTAATCATAATCGGTGTAGTTCTCGCTCTGTTGATCGGTTTTCTGCTGAAAGAACACTCTAGCCATGACTTCACGAAAAGAGAGGTGTACTACATCTCTTTCCCCGGTGTACTCTTCTTGAATATGCTGAAGATGCTGATTATTCCGTTGATTGTGACCAGCGTGGTTGCAGGGCTTGCCACACTCGATGTAAGTACTGCAGGTAGAATGGGATGGCGTACAGTTCTCTACTATTTCTGTACTACTATTCTTGCTGTAATCCTTGGAATCATTTTGGTTGTGGCGATCCACCCCGGCAAAGGGAACCCAGACGATATGGTTCGCAGCGGCCAATCAAAGCAGGTCAAGGCGGAAGATGCATTTATGGACTTACTGCGGTAAGTAGAGCACATTCCCAGGTGTAGTGTGCGCCATTTTATTTGTTTACACACATGAAGTTGTAGTAACCCCTGCCACTATAGTTTCACTCATCTTGGATTTGAGCAAAAATACTTTCTATAATTCAGCACCTGTATTTGGAAAGAGTTGATTAAGGCCCCCTCACCCCCTTACCTAAACGTTAACACTCCAGCACAGTTTGACACAATTATCAAAGTGTTTTCGCCAACACGAAATTAATTGGATGACCTTCACATAAAAAATGTCACTGTAGTTTCTATCCAATGTTTATACGTATTCACCTTTGACTAACACAGCTTCTGTGCCTTCCAACTAAATTGAACTAAATGCTATTTCACAACAACAGGCTATTCTCTGAATTCAATAGTAACACGGTACACTCCCGCGCCGGGTGACATAATGTACTTGTTCAACGGTCTTTTGTATTTGGAGAGGGGTTCAATGACACAACAGGGAACGTGAGCTGGGTTTAGACCGCCGTGGGACAGGTTAGTGTTACTCTACATGTGAGTTAGACTGACCCCACTTTTCACCAAACAGTTATGGCAGGACTGCAAATTGAAAATTCGAAGACTAAAATATGCACGGCTGTTTTTTATCAATATCAATAGTTTGTTATATTAGCGTGACTCGTGATCAAAAGGCTGAATTACAAATTTAAAAATAAAACTGCCCAGCTTTCGATTCGCCGGTGAGGCTCGTCGAATACACTCGAATTCAACTCGGACTGCGTCGTCATGAACTAAACATCATCATTGCAAGCAGTCGGAACAGGTGGCTGGTAATAGGCACTTTCACTTTATCATAAGCAATGGCGCTGACAGAACGTGGCTGTATGGCAATATACAACATTGAGCATTGTGATCCGTAATAAAGATAGTCACTGATAACTAGTAGACAGTACTCTCTTGCCAAATAATAATCCAAAATCGCATCAATTTACGTACATTATTTGGATTGGGCATTATTTACTATATAGAACACAGCGTTCATTCTTGTTAGGTATTTGGTTCCATGCGAAGTATAAAGCGCTTCATACAACTTCAGACGAGCTGCGTTACGACTGGTGTTTTAAATTTATTCAACCACAGTCCCTCAATAAGAGACTTTAATTTAACAGCCTATATCAGATGTTTACAATTAATTGCGTTGTTTGAATAAATTATATCACTATTGACTACCCTTATAAACTTTTAGTAATCCGGTACTTCATAAATACTACGCTACGCAAGATATCATGGGGAGTGACGTTACATTCCTCGGTGTGTGGAGGGCGGGGTAACTTGGGTTAACGAGACATAGTGTCAACAAGTATTTTCAGTATGACTAATTGTTCTTTAATGTCGGGTAACGTTTTCTGCTTATGTGCCGTTTATTTATTTTTTATTTATCTATAAAGGGTAAACTGAGTTGCAAATGATTTTGTATTTACATCAAAGTAAACTTGTGGCAGGAGAAAAAAGATACAACTATATATACCCTCAAAGGACTGTGAAAGTCGGCACTGTACTTTAAGTGTCTGTTCACCGATTATCGACCGTTGAACCTGAAATTCGTTTTGTAAAATATGCAATCGTATTCCTGTCATATACAGTACCTAGTTATATCTCCCCGGTGTGTACACTTGACTGTCGGTCAGCGTCAGGGTCAATGCTTGCATTATAATACCCATCTCCATAGCATTCATTCAATTCAAGGTGTCCATGGCAGTTCATTGTTTCGGTCGACTGATTACTTCCAATGCGTTCATTCATTCATGTGTTTGTCTGTCTCACTTTGACCTGAACGAAACACTCACAATGTTTCTGTCTGACCCAGGCAAGTTTCACATCACAGTCATAGCGTGGGATCACGTAGGCATTTTCTATTTTGAAAACAACTTTTAGCTAGGAATGACATCCTTGAATTTCAAACCCGTTTATTAAGTATGATACCAGCCCGTTTATTAAGTATGATACTAGAATGGGCAAGCTATTGGTCGAATGTAAGCGATAACCAACTAGTTTTGAAATCGTGGGTCAATACATCTAAAGTGAGTGGTGAGCTGTGTCTAATTTAAATATAACAATATTAGTATAGTTGAATATGATTCAATTGTACAACATCCCTGGTGATGGTGTTCATCTCTTGATTTGAAAAGTTATAAAAATCACGTTTTTTGTTTCTTTGGTCATATGTGTAAATTAACCCTGCTTTCAAGTTTACATTGTCGTCTCCCATAAGTTTTAATTGCAGGGTACACCTATAACATTTCTTCTGAACAGGGTGATCCCTGTTTGATCCAGTCTGTAAGAGCTCAACTCGTTTGATAAATGAATTTCTGTTTTAGTTGATTATAAGTTTATTTTGTGTTATTGTGTTTAGTGCGTTATGTATTTAGTGCGTTATGCGCACGATTCTAGTTGCTGGGCTGTGTTATGTTTATCACAATAAACCCAAGTTACTCGCAAAGACGAGCACTTTAAATGGTAACCAGGCCAGGTTGCCATGCGCTTTCTAAAGTAGTGTGCGTTTATAGGCAGCAGTGGTGTATTTCAAGGAGAGGCCCGGACATGGCTACTTTGTTATGCATTCATGTTCCTCTTGTACTCCACACACTGCGAGTACGGACGATTTCATTGTACGTCCTTCTCATGCAAAGGTAGTCATTAGGCTCATATTAAAACATTTTCATTTTTTCCATCGTTACTGAATGTGTTATTATATATTTATTTATATATTTAAAAACATTGCTACAAAAAAATCGCATGACGGTGGACACAGGCAAACACATGTTTTGTTGGTTGTTTGGTTGGTTGGTTGGTTAGTTGATTGATTGATTGATTGGTTAGTTGTTTGTTTTCAGTGAAAGTGCTTTTAAGTCCGATTATTTCGTGCTCTCAACAAAGCCGCTTAGTCGTTTGGGGGCGCGATCTAAAATTAGGATGCATTACATGTAAATATATTTCCATGAACCAGTGTTGTAAAACACGTGTCATTTCATTGGGAACGTGATCTGTTTACAAATGAAATCAACTGTCAGATTTCACCATGGTAACCACCCTGACTATAGTTACTAACACACTGTGACAATATGCTTGCAGGCAATGTTAATGGGGTACCTTCCAGTTAAGCCTAACCTCAAAACAAATTTATTTTCTGAATTAAAATAACAATAGATAACAAAAGATAGATTAACATTGTAAACAACATGAACAATAGTGTCCCATGATTCTTTGGTGCAATCCGTGGGATTGAGCAGTTCCCCTTTAACGTAAATACTTAAAGGGGCACTTCCATTTAGGCCTAATCTCACAAAAAAATTATTTTCTGGATTAAAATTACAATGGATATCAAAAGATAGATTAACTTTGTAAACAAAAACAACATAAACAATAGTGTCCCATGATTCTTTAGTGCAATCCATGGGATTGAGCGGTTCCCCTTTAACTTGATGTGCAACGACGCGAAAACGAAACATATAGTTTACTACTAGTGTAGACGTTAGTAGTTGTGTGCGGCACGCTCTCATATTTTAAAATCATTAAAGCGAGTAATCTATATACTTACATGAAACTACAATTTAATGATATTCATATTGTATTGTTTGTTTGTTTGGTTTTTGGCAGGAACATATTTCCACCCAATTTAATTGGCGCGACAATGGAGAAGGTAAGTCTTATTACTAAACAACTGGCAACACCCTCAGTTTTACACAGACTTACCAAGGACAGCGCTTGACCCAGATCCATTCGATAAGATATATGGCTTTATGGCAACTTTGTTTTGTAGGTAATTTGGCTCAATCAGGTCTGGTTGCGCATTAAATTGTCGTAATAAGAGGATGGTCACATGACCCTACCAAGCATTCTCGTCATACATACTGTCCTGTCACGCATTCCCAAAATTGGATATGGTTTCTGAGACGGAATGCACTGGTTAGCATTTTGCTTGCACTCTGCCCACAAACACAGGGAACCGTTTCCCGAAACATATGTCAAACACATAGAAAATGTAATTAAAATACGTCATCATTTACAAATATACTTGCAACATACTTGAATTACGTTTTTCAATGTAATTCATCTATCGCCTACCCAAGACAGTAGGTTAGAAATATATCAAATACATCGATTCCACACTTCAAAATAAGTGGCTTCGTCAAAATTAAATGTATTAAAATCATATTTCGAATACAATAATTTGATTGCTAGTACGTACCTATATTATGTCAATCGAGCTACATGCTGGGTAATGTGTTGTGGGGGTATATCCAAGATGGCAACCGTCTTGTAAACATTTGTTTTTGAAATTAAAATTGGAGTTTTACTAATAGACTTTCAGAGTAGTGATCTATTCCCAGATATTGCAGTAATCATTGAAATGTAGATTGCTTCTGTTTTTGGCGCACTCTCAGAATTTGTTTCACGTATATGATAGGTTTATCCTCCGAGGTTGCCGAAGAATTCATGATGTATATCAGGAATTATTTTGCCATTTCAAGCGAAATTGTTCAACTCAGCAATTCTGTTTATGGATTTCTGTATTGCGTGGCTTAAAATGTTACATATATTTGAAATGTACCTCATACTAGTAAATGTGTTAAAAATACATTTCTATTTGGTAAAGGCGCACTCAATATCCAGAGTTGGCAATAGACACAACATTTGTAATTGAAACTCACATTCGCCAAGCATACGCGATCGAACGTATGTGCATTTAAAAACTATTTAAATACAATTGGTTGTTTTTACAGTACAAGACGTTTGAACCGGAAGTCGAAGACCCAGGTGAGACTACTCTGAACGCAACAAACGGAACTGCAGACAACGATGCCATGCTACTTATCATGTCTGATGCACCCAAGGGAGGCATGGTTAGTGGTATGAACGTTCTCGGCATTATCGTATTTTCCATCGCGCTCGGTGTGACAATCGCAAAAATGGGTGAATTGGGTACGCCGCTTGTTATCTGGTTTGTGGCGTTGAACGAAGCTGTGATGAGAATCGTGTGGATTGTCATGTGGTACGTTATAACAAGTTGATTTCATAAACTGTTAACTGTACGTGTGTTGTGATGAGATGAGAGTGATATACATGCATTTATATTATCAACTAGAGTTGGTAATTGAACAATTTTAACCTGTAACTTACAACATTCTAGTCCCTGATTGAATACTACTCGTACAAACGATTTTCGTAGAATATTTCATTACATTACATTATACAAAGGCCTACAATTAATCCCTATACGATGCGCGGTATGACGGGAAATGAACGCGGTGAAATACAAATATCTCTAATATTAATTAACTTTTTTGTTATAGGTATTCGCCAATTGGTATCATGTTTCTGGTTCTTGGCCGAGTTTTAGGCATGGATGACTGGGCTACAGTTGCTGGCCAACTTGGAATGTATTGCGTCACTGTCATTACCGGATTATTAATCCACGGACTAATTGTACTTCCGCTGGCCTATCTTATCTTTGCGCGAAAGAATCCGATTAAGTTTCTCCTGAATGTATTGCCAGCACTCCTGACTGCGTTCGGCACCGCGTCGAGGTGAGTACCGTAACTGTCTGATTGTATTTAAATTAAATTGACTCGTAGCTATAATCACGTAACTAACGACAATTACTACAAATTATTCAGTTTGAAATTGCATTGTAATTCGAAAATGTGCAGTACAGGTCAACACTGTGTTTTCATGTCTAAACCGATGAGCCCAATTAATGATTAAGAAATGCGCCCTTGTGTTAAAGTTGCATTCTCGGAACCTTAAGCATCATAAAGGCTTTGGATTTTGAATCATATAAAACAGAATCCTAAAAAAGCACACCTTAAATAAAGTAGTCTTGATTGATTATAACAATAACAATGATATTCGATTTGGTGAATTGGATCTAAATTCTTGTGACTAATACATGTGACTTCTTTTCTTTCATTGATTCGTTTAGCTCGGCGACATTGCCAGTGACTATTCGATGTTTAGAAACAAAAGCACGTCTGGATAAACGAGTGACGCAATTTGTTCTACCGGTGGGGGCCACTATTAACATGGATGGCACCGCCCTCTACGAGGCCGTTGCTGCAATCTTCATCGCACAGGTGTACGGATATGACCTTGACATTGGAGGATACATAACTATCAGGTGAGTAGGAATGGCTTATACTTTGTGATGATTGTGACCGATTGTTGATTGGTATCCAGCACAGGCCTAGGTCTAAGTGTTCGTGACAGGTGTTAGTATACTAGGACTACTAGAATAGACACAGTTTTAAAGGTCAAATATTACTCGCTAATAACAATCCCCAGAAATTATTCAAAGTGACGCTCGTGAAATAAATCTGCAATATGCGTTCTGATTGAATAAAATTATTGAACAATCTAATTAATATTAATTATAACTAACGTTGATGTCACAACACTATACTATTCGAATTGGTCAATTTGAATTCTATAACACATTTTGGCTTATAAAAAATATATATATTTTAAAACGTTTAAAACGACCACAACTGTATACCCTTTACTGTATCAGTTGTCTTACTCAAGACATAACTAAACAACTCATCCATGCCTTTGTTTGCTGCAACGAACATTGATTATGCAAACAGTCTACTCTATGACATCACATACATAAACTGCAACTTCTACAAAATACATCTGCTCGTCTGACTACGAAGACCGTAAAACGTGATCATATAACTAACATTCTATACAAACTCCACCGGTTGCCCATAAAAAAACGTATTATATTTAAGACCCTGCTCATTACATTTTATCCGATCCATTGTTCTGCACCGTCATATATGCCATCTTGTGACAGCATACAAACCAAAACGTAGTCTTTGTTCACAAAATCAATCTCTAATGCCATCGCAACTATGAAGTAATCTTGTTACTCAAGCTGACTATGCACATTTTGTTTGATGTATGTCTCTATTCGGTGTGCCTCTATTATTATGCTTTCAATCCCACCTACTCCAAGAATATGTTATCACATCCCAAATGCGTAGTGACTTTATTCTAAATCATGCACTTATTATTTCATATCGTGGTATAGCTAATACGTTC